TATTTATACTAATTACTATATTAGTATATATTAGTGTATAAAAAATTATATTAGTAATTAGTGTAATTACTATAAATTATAATATAAAATATAATTAATTATAATATGAAAAAACTTATATTAGTATAAATTATTAAGTTAGTATATATTATATATTTTATAATAGTAATTAGTATGATTATTATAACTTATAATAGTAATTACTAATATATAATATAATTATACTAATATAACTAATATAATTTATTATAAGTAGTATAATTCATATAAATTATATTATTAGTAATATAATTCATTATGATTATACTAATTACAAATATATATTTTTTTATTATACTAACATAGTAATTAGTATAGTTACTAGTATTATTGTACTAATTATTATAATAACATCTTCATTAGAATTGATTATCTTAAAAAATAAAATTTATTGATATTATGCTAGAAGTTATAATTGATTATTTTGTATAATTATTAACATACATCGTAATATATTGCAGACGCCGGTCGAAGATTTTGGAGGAGACGGTCTTGATTACCGACCTTGTGGGTTGATTCAGGAAAATGCCTCTGAATAGGAGTGAGTAAACTCAACTCTCTGTCACTGACAACAACATAAGGATATACGTCTTGGCCTATCAGTAGTCTCAACTTCTCTAGAACCCAGTCGTAACTGGCCTCTTTCTCGATCCTGATGAGCGCATACGCAATTAGGAAGTTCTGGTTGCACGGTGTCATCCCAATCATCGCGACCAATGGCATCTTGTACCTGTGCAAATGAGACCAAGAAGACAAAAACTATAATCAAATAAAAGTTTACTTAATCAAACACACTATTTAAGATTCATACTAATAAAGTATTTATAAAGAAACATACCTGTTGGTTTTATACGTGGAATCTATGCCGACATACCAGTGATATGTCCGGAATAGATTGATCGACGCAGGATGGGCCATGAATATATGCGTCAACGCTTTCGTGTTCGGATCGGATTCTGCATAAACTGTATACTCGCTGCTCACAGCCAAATGCATAAGCTGGGAAGGAACGTCTCTACCGTCGAAACCCTCTTTCCGCAGCTTATCTCTAAAGTTATATACCTGTCACCGATTAACGTTAAATATAATGATTATTAAATTTAAAAAAAATATTATGTTAATAAATAAAAAAGTATATTAATGCGATTAATTTGATAAAAAAATTTTAATTATCACAATAAAAATACATTAGTAAATATAATAAAATTTATTAATTATTACAATAACTTTTACATATAAAAAATTACTAATTATCATAATTAACTTCAAAAAGTTAATTAAAACATATATTACAAGATATAAATATATATACCTGTCGCACATGAACGTTGTCTCCCGGATTCTTTTCCTTCAGCGCGGCCATAATTTTTGCCGAGGCCACCTGAGCGTCCGTCATATCACGAATAATTTTCTTAGATGAAGCGCTGAGGCCGCTCAACTGGCGATGACCCTCAAGATACACAACAAATGTATGGTTATGGTAGCCCTTCTCTTCATTGCTACATCTACAGATCCTCCAGTATGGAGCGCCAGACACCTTTTTTACTTTGATCTCAAAATTGCAGCCGCACTTATTCGTTTTTGTCTTTCTAGAATTTCCGCCTGTGCCTCTGTACCGTTTGCCTCTATGGCACTTGAAAAGCCTGACCGTTTTCTTTTTGTGGCTCGACATTATTAATAAGAAACCATTCAGCATTGCCTGGTGTTTTGCAGCTTCAATAGCGTCCTGAGCCCTATTATATAATGTACAGGTATCGAAACTCAGACTGTAATCAACACCATCTCCTCCAAAATCTTCCCATGGCACCTGCTATATAGTACAATATTTATATTTTTAGAACATGTTTAATTAAGATAATTAATTCTACCATGTAACATAATAATTTGTAACTCATAACATGATATTATCTAACGTCCAATTTATAGCATAATGAAGTCTAACATGTAACATAATAATTTGTAACTCCTAACAGGATCACGATAATATCTAATGTCAATTATAATATAATCAACTATAACATGTAACATAATAATTTGTTACTCCTAACACGATACTATCTAACGTCAATTTATAACATAACCAAGACTAACATGTATATAATAATTTCTAACTCGTAACACGATAATATCTAATGTCCAATTTATATTATAATCAACATGTAACATAATAATTTGTAACTTCTAACACGATTAACGTCCAATTTATAGCATAATCAAGTCTAAAATGTAACATAATAATTCATAACATAATAATATAGTCCAATTTATAACATAATTATTTCGAATATATAACATAATAATTAAAAAAAAAAATTATGTCCGGCCGGTCGAACCGGACAGACCGGTTCCAACCGGCCGGTTCGGACATAGCCGTCCGACCGGCCGAACTAACCGGACGGCTTTTAACCCGTCCGAACCGGCCTGCCGGACGGCTTAAAATCCATCTGGTTCCGGCGGCCGGACGGACTAAAAGCCGTCCGGTTCCGGCGGCCGGACACAAAATTTTTCGTACCTCGGAATTTGACGACATTTCACCGTACACTTCCTCTGAGATGTTTAGAAAAAATGAAAAGGGCAAAATCGTCCAAGAGGGGCGGTGAGTAATAAAATGGAGGCGGTAAATAGTACCACCCATTTGCTTTCCATTTTTTGCGCTCATAGGAAGACAGCTACACAGCGAGCGAGCGGGGGAAGTTCTTTTTCTTGGGTTATAAAATTGAAGGATTTGGTAGTTGGTATAACTGTGATTAACTTTTGAATCTCGTCATATTGGTACTAACGTTACTTTTACTCGTCCATATGTACTTTAGCCTAATCTATACTTATATTAAAAGGTATATTATTTACCAGATTTAGTATAAAGAAAAGTCAACAATATTTATTGCATTATTATTTCCGTATTATACAATCTATACTTATATAAAAAGAGATTCTATTTATTACATTTACTATCCAGAAAAGTCAACTGCATTAAATGCCATTACTATTTTGGTATTATAATATTTTATTTATTTAATTGATTTATTTATTTGTTTTATTTTAAAAAGGTAAGTATAATAAAAAGATTTTAATAATAAAGAAATCAAATACCAAATAAAAATGTACACTTTGACTTATTTAATTATATTTGGTATTTGATTATACCAAATATATTCCTATTTAGTATATACATTAAATACTTACTAAAGTATTTATTTGTTTTATTTGTCAAAGTTAAGTATAGATTTGTTTATATTATCAAATCATAAAATAAATAAATATATCTCGTGCTTCGCACAGGTATTTGAACATTGTACAATTTTCTTGCGTATTATAAACTTTTATTGAATATTGCATCTTATAATATAACTAGTTTTTGTCCCGTGCATTTGCACGGAAAACTATATGATACATGAAAAAATAATAAAAATTATAAACAATGGTAAAAATCATAACAAATTCATTGAAAAAAATTAAGAAAAAAAATATAAATATTCTTAAACACTTCTTTATAAAACAACGTCGTGGTTTTTCTATCGTCAAAATCTCCCTCAGCTCAAATCAAAATCTTCAAACCCCACTGACTTGTAACTCTAAAAAGCGCCACGTATAATTGCTCATGACTAAATGCAGAGCTCTTCAGTAGTAAGCCGACGTGCGACAAAGACTGTCTTCGACTCTTATTGATCATGTCATAGCATAGGAAACACTTCTTTATATTGTTTGTCCTTGACTCTTATTGATTGATAGAGATTGTCCTTGCTTCTTAATAAAAAAAATACCATCTAAATATAAATGAGTAAATATAATATTAATTTTTAATATAAACAAAAAATTTAAAGTAATTGATAATGAGTATAGAATTACCCTTGCGGATTCAAGTTATTTCAACGATGTTCTTTTTATATATCTAAGATTTAATTTTTTTTTTTTGATTTATATGAATATAAGCACATTTGACTAATTTTTATAAAATTTATTGAAAAAAGTTACTATTTTTTTGAAAAACTGATAAGATATTAAGATAATATTGTACTTAACATAAATGTGGGATTAATTAAAATAAATCTTTTTAATTTAGTCATTAACTAATTAAATTTAACTATAAAAAACCTTCTTAAATGTGAGATTAATGAGTAATTAATTAAAAAAAATGTAACTCCTTTTGGAGGGAAAGTAAAACTATTTTTATTAAATGTTTTATTAAATGGGATTAGCTAGCAATTATATATATATAGATATTCTCCAAATAAATATATCTCGTGCTTTCGGTACTATATATATCCCGTACATTTTTCTTTATTCATGTATATAATTATAAGCCTGAATAAATAGCCTTAAAATTGTGTAGTCCGTATATCGCACGGGTTCTGTACCAGTTATAATATATTTTGAGATGGTGAAGTAAGGGATGCAAATTCCTTTGTTTTTTTAAAACGTTGGGCCTCCGGCCTTCTATTAAAATGTTATTCAATAGGCGGTTGGTTTGGGCTGTTGAGCTTGCACTTTTTAGGTCTGTTAGAATGAGTGTTAAAATACGAATATAGTTATCTGTGGACAGCGTGTGTAGGGAAACTAGGGCTTTCAAACAGTTCTCTGCGGCTAGACAGAACCATGGGAATCCTCTCAACCACCTCCATTCTACTTGCTAACGCCAAATCCAGATTGAAATTTCTCCCCCAAATTTTCGGACCTAATATTTTCCATCGTGTTTGCATTTTAGGTGGCAGTACTGCGGCGCCGGCGTCGGCGCTTTCCCCCAATTTGAAGCATTACAACAACGAAAAACTCATGCTTATGGTGCGATGTGGACTCAACGGAACCTGTGATCACTGCGTAATCTCGACGGACAACAACTCGTTCCGATTGGTAACAGATAGTCTTCCCAACTTATCTCGACTCAGAGCTGAAAATTACCATCCAGAATATCTGGCCACCTCGGATTATATCGTTCGAGCGTGTTCCAACAGCAAATGGATGTTGTTGACATGTCAAAAATTGCCTGGACCCCCGTATGAGCTTCTTTGGGACCCGACAACAGACGAGATGAAACGGCTTCCTCCTTCTGCAGTTTGGCCACCCCCATCTTTACCAAGATTCGCTTTCTGTTGGGGTTTGGGCGTGGGGTTTGATCCTCGTGCACCTTGGGAATATAAGGTGGTGAGATCTTACCTATTAAAGTATGAAGGTTTCGGTAAAATCCGGTCCGAGGTGTGGTCCCTAGGAACCGGATTGTGGAAGGAGATTCCATATCCTCATTCTCATCTGCTCAACCCTTATGAAAACCGTGCTATTCACATAAATGGCTTCTATTACTGGCTATGTTATCATATTCATAGTCGCACGAGCAGTGATGCTATTGTTCAGTTTGACTTTGCTAATGAGGAGTTTCTACCTGCTCTTATCCCTGTACCCCAAAGCCAAGAGCTTGGGAACAATGTGAAAGTTGTACTTGCTGAGCTTCACGGGTCACTTGTGGCTGTTGTTTACAACATGTTGAGAAGTGGTGTTTTTACTCGTGAGAAGAATACGCTTTGTTTCGAGATTCGGGTATGGAATAACGGGTGGTACCTTGAGGACACGTTTGACGTTACTGCTGGTGCTGGTGATCTCCTAGAAGTATTGGGTCTTTACAAGGATGATAAAGTGCTTATTCAGGACTCCAAGGGTGACCTGCTGCTTTATGATTGTAAGACCCGCAAGTTGGAGAATCTCGGCATCCACGATGAAGCACGTAACATGCTGGTATTCCCCTATGGAAAAATAAATAAATAAACTATAGCTTGTCGACCCTATGGTTTGGTGGCATCATTCTTTGTTCAAGTGTCATCTATGTAATTTGTGGCCTTCCTATTAGCTATGCGAAATGGTCCTTTAGCCTATTGTTTTTTGACCTTCACTGCTCTTGTAGCGGCCCATTTGTTTCGGATTTAATTGGGGATTTTTATTATTATTTTACTTTATTTTATTCCGAAATTATTTATTCGAGCTCGATAATTCTATTTCGGTTATGTGCTCATAATTGTTAATTGTATTAATTTTAATATCGAGTCAAATAGTATTATTATTTTATTAAACTGCCAGAGAAAAATAATTATTTGATGATGTATTTATTAGTGTGTGCTAATAAATATATATTATATCGGTTCCGTGAATTTTAAGATTTACGAGTCGTCATATTTTATTTTTCCGAGCATTATGATTATTCGGAGTTTAAGAGATTGAGCCCGATAAATCAGTAGTCGAAACCAGCCGATTCGTAAACCCGTTTACAAATTAATTGAGATTATTGTTATTAATATTATTATTTTAAAATAATGTATGTAATAAATAAATATTTCTCAATTTTTATTTATTTATCGTGCGATTAATCGAGCCCGAGTATACCCGCGTGAAACCCGGTTCAAATAATAGGTGAGTGTGTGTGCTGTGTGTTTTCTCTTAAAACCAAGAAAAGTCAACATGATTATACAAATTTTATATTAGGTATATATATAGATACCAATCATGTATCTGTCTCCTTGCATAATAATAAAACGCAGCATCCCTCCATCTGATCGGGGAATCACTCTGGCATCACATGTTTTTCTGCTTTTTAAAGTTGTTTTCACCGATCCCATCTCACCTTCATCGACCCATCTCCTCTCCCTCAATTTCTTCCCGTCACTTAGATTCGCCATCACCACCTTCGTCCCTCATCACCATCTTCCGGCGACCACCATGACGAATCCTCCTCCGTCGCGACTTTCCTCGCAGCGATTCCCGACGTGCATAAACCCCAGCAGCCGCGAGCCCGACGACGAGACCACCCCGACCTGCAACTGCTCTTCCGTACAAGTCGTCGCCGACGAGCTCTCCTTCCCCATCCGCGAACAGCGGCCTCAGCAACTCCGTCTAGTTCAGTTCGACGCGCAACGGCCGTTCGCGAAGTCCTCAGCGGCGAGCCCAGCAATTCCGGCGACCTCTGTTCGTGAGATTTTCCGGCGAATTCGATCTTCCTTCGAGCAGCAACTCCGGTGATCTCCTGCACTACAAGCTCTCTCCCCTCGGGAGACGAAGCTTGCCGTCGAGCAATCTTCATTAGTCGCGAGTTCGCCTTTCTCCTTGTTCGGTTCCTTTTCATTTTCGAGTTTCATTCACGAGCCGATTTCCGACCCGTTCGGCCGAGCCGTCGTTCGGCCCGTTTTTCCACCGTTAGCTCGTGAATTTTCAAAAGTGGGTAACTCATTTGAACCCTCTCGTTATTCCGGTCGTGTTCGTATATTACATATACGTATTACCGATTATTTGTTTGAAGTCGAATTTTGGTTAAAATTATTACCGTTTCGTATATGTCGTTTCATTTGTCGTGTTATGCTCGTGACCTTGTGAAATCGAATATCATGTTGTTGCTGTATTGAACCTCAATGTGCTCGTTTATTTGCTGTCGAGAAATTATATTGATCGTTGTCGAGTTTTGAACCATCCGTTTTGTATTCATTGGTATTTTATGTAAAAATACGTTCTTTTTTTTTTTTTTTGCCGCATTTTAAGCTAACGGAGACTGGTTATTTGAAAATGTGGTCTTCACATGAAATGTAGTATGTTCACTGGGTTTTGGAATTTCTTAATTTCGATCTATATCGAAAAAGTTATGATGTTTACAAGATTTGTTGTACTCCCAGTTTTTCCGTACCCGGCAGCATAATTGGATTTAATGTTTGATCTGTTTTTCATGTCAAAATGTGCTCGTATGAACTTACACTCTTCATGAAAGTTATAGATCTGTCTTTTACCTTTCAAATGAGATAAGTTGCATGCTGATATGTGCTCTGTGGCTCAAGTTACGATTTTATGAAATTAGATATGCACGAGTTAGGAATTATCATGTTGGCAGAAATCTGTAACTGAATGTTAATCGATTTTGCACCATTCAAATGATCTCATATGCTTATGTGTTCTAAATGAAAGTTGTAGATGCTTTTGTAAGATTTTATTTGAGACTTGAACCATATCATTTTGAGGTCTGTAGCTCAAGATAAATGTTAAAAACTGAGGTGTTGTCCATGTCATTATGTTAGTTTCGACAGATTTATTGAATCACATGTTTTGTGTTTAAATTCGCGGATAATGTAATTATCTGCCAATGGGATCTTCAGCAAAGTTGTAGACAATCGAGTTGCCTATCATGTGGTTTTTGAATTTCATCAAAAGCATGACTGTAGCTCCAGTTAGATAGTAAATACTGAAGTCTGGTCAAGTTTATTTTCCCAGTTTTGGACTGTGACTCAAATTTTAATGTGTGTTGATTTATCACTTGTTGAATGATCTTATTTTCTTTAAGTGCCTTCATAAGAATTGTAGATTCATGACTTAGGACTCCAATGCAATTTTATTTATGTTCATATGAGTTGTGTACTGTAAGTTATATCGGTTTTTAAAACGCTGCCCGGGTCAAGTTTTCAAAACTTATGTGATATTTTTGAAAATGTGTTTTCCGTTGTTTTAATGCGTGCTTAAATGATTTCGTGATCTTAGTTAGACTTAGTGATTATAGAATAGTCTTTGATAAGGCTATTTTACCAAATGTAGGTGTTTGACGAGTCGACCTCGCCGCATACCTTATTTTGTGTTTTCTTCGATCGCTACCAGGTGGGTTCATTTATGTTGAATCTACATTTATTGCACTTGTTATTTCATATAAATGTTTGTCGCGATAGCTTCTGTATGCGTGAGAACCCTAGTCTAAGTGTCCTGACGGTAGTGCCTTTGACGAATGCATAATCAGTGGAAGTCACCTGCCCGTCGTATCCGGGAGGTGGGCGCCCGAATCCGTGTAGAGCGGAGGGGATTGTCTGAACGCCCGAATCCGTGTAGAGCGGAGGGGTATTTCAACTTCACTGTCTCCTGGATAATATCCTATGCCCGTTGCATCCAGGGTGGAAGTGCTTCCAGTTACATCCTTGCCGATGTCTGGTCGGAAGGTTTGTTGTATGTACATAGGAGGTTTGCGATAGGGCCTAATAGGGAGTTAGATCTGGATTCTATGCATACATTATTTATGGTTATGGATCTTTATGCGAAATATACTGTGCGGTGATGGTGAGTATGATGGTTGTACTCACCCCCATTTACTTTTCTGTCCTCTTGTTCCTCTTCCTATCCTTTTAGGTTGAGCATGGTTGGCAGCGGCAGCGAGAGACGATCGAGTGGTGGTCGTTGGATTGTGTGTTACTTGCTTCCGCTTTTATTATCTCGATAAATCATTTGTTTAACTTTGAATAATGATGCTTCCGCTTTAATTACCTTGGACATGTTGGTTAGACCTTGGATTTTCCGTTGAAGTATTTAATTATGCATGATTGGGTTTGAGGATTATGAATAATTGGAATTTCATTTTGAACTGTTAAATTTTATCTGAGTAAATGTGTATTTGTTTTAGTTGTTTAAGTAGCGCCCGTTGAGTGTTAAAGTTTTACTTGGGATTTTGCGAAAAATAAACTCTGATTTTAATAAATAAATTCAGTAAGTTCTTTAAAATAAAACGGGGTGTTACAGCTCGTGTATTTATTGCGGTTTCTTTTAGTGCAATGATGTTACTTTTTTACATACTGCATCTTCTTTACGAAGTCCGGCGTCGACATCTTTAAAATAGATGTACTCGTACAATTCACGGTGGTTGTCGACCTCCTACGCAATGCTTTCTCTTGCATCTGCCCAGTACTTCTGGTGACCATACACGTGACTCGCGATGACCCGAAATCCGTAGTTACCATCCGCATCCACATTCAGGTAACTCACTATGTAGTCCAACATATGCCAGGGGATACTTTGCCACATTGAAAATCCAAATATATTTGTCGGTCTAAACTCTGCAATAAATATCATAATAATTTGACGTCACAATTTATATAATCATATAAATATTTAATTAACGCTCAGCAAAATGTATGACCTTCATCCCCTTGTGACTGTTGAAAAGACGAACTTGTCTGTCCATGCGAAAAAGTGGTCGTACGGCTCGATTTCCGACCTCGCGATCTATTGTTGTACTCAAAAGCAGATGGTTTACGCTTAGTTGAATTAGTTTTCTTGGGACGACCTCGCGGGTCATCCTTAACCTCAGGTTCCGCATAATCCTGTTGGTCTGGGTAAAGATGACTGTACATGAACTGATTCACGTACCGCATCGTCGCGGGATCGCTGGTTTCAACCTCACTCACAAGCGTCTGAAAGAACTCTGCATCTGACCATACAGCGTGGCTCACCTGGCTCTGATGACCAGTCCCTACAAGTATACGATAAAAAAGTCAATGAATTAAATCAAATAATGTATTTGAATAGAAAATTATAAATAAAACATTAACCTTAATTTACCTGGCTCTAATATCGGGAGCGTACTCCAGAACTGGTGAATCATTCCGAGATCAATCGGAATGTTGAAATCAACTGCGTTACGGAGCAGACAGGCACAAGGAAGTCCATGAGTGAGCTGCAATACACAGCCGCAGCTAGTGTAAACATCGGTGCCCAAGCCGTGCATCCTCGTAAGCTCAGCGTCCAATAAACTCAGACAGTAATGCGAGACCCTCAGTATCACGCTCGTGAAAAGGATTCCCTTATACCGTGTATTCTTCTTAGATCTCGAGGCCTCAAGCGCCGTCCTGATAATACGTTACATAACGTTAAATTGTAATTAATTAATGCAGTAATATAATAACGCATTTAAAAATTGCAGTACGTACTTGATTTCAGTCACTTGATTATCGATGTGCTTATTAATCTTCTGCCAAATTGTATCGAGCGCGCCGGTGGACGTCTGAAGCCACTCCTTCAACACAGAGTGGGCACTCTCCACCCTACAGGAAGTTGTGTTTCCAAAATGTGTCACTCGGTTGGGCCAAACCTTCACAAACTTCTCGCGGTGCCCTAACCATGTGCCCTCCACATACCGTATCACCTCTGGGGACTTCGAATATTTTGCGTGCAGCTCGGCAACGGCATCGGTGTAGGCATCGAACGTACTGGCCTCTGCAATCGCCTTCCACATACTGTGCGTGAAAATCTCCGAGAATTCTTACTCTTCCCAAATAGTTTGTAGGTTCTGGCTTCCACATCCTTGTTGATGTGCCACGTGCAGAGTAAGTGGGCTGATTCAGGAAAATGCCTCTGAATAGGAGTGAGTAAACCCAACTCTCTGTCACTGACAACAACATAAGGATATACGTCTTGGCCTATCAGCAGTCTCAACTTCTCTAGAACCCAGTCGTAACTGACCTCTTTCTCGTCCCTGATGAGCGCATACGCAAGTAGGAAGTTCTGGTTGCACGGTGTCATCCCAATCATCTCGACCAACGGCATCTTGTACCTGTGCAAATGAGACCAAGAAGACAAAAACTATAATCAAATAAAAGTTTACTAAATCAAACACACTATTTAAGATTCATACTAATAAAGTATTTATAAAGTAACATACATGTTGGTTTTATACATGGAATCTATGCCGACATACCAGTGATATGTCCGGAATAGATTGATCGACGCAGGATGGGCCATGAATATATGCGTCAACGCTTTCGTTTTTGGATCGGATTCTGCATAAACTGTATACTCGCTGCTCACGGCCAAATGCATAAGCTGGAAAGAAACGTCTCTATCGTCGAAACTCTCTTTCCGCAGCTTATCTCTAAAGTTATATATC